TATATATCCAAAGCAAGCAAACTCATAGTTTGGTAATTATTTGTGCCCTTCTTATAACCTTGGCTCGAACCAGCAGCGTCCGTATTATAACCATGAAACTAATTAATACAATTCTATGTTTCTGTGTAACATTGTTTTTTATTATTGTAGATGAGTTATTGATTAATTTTCCACACCATGCACCACTCTTCAGGGCAGAATTGTCTATCAAGTAAAAAACAAACAAATAAAAAAACACACAAACAAAGAGTATTCTTCAGCCAAACCATGAGCTGATTATCTCACCAGTAGAACCTGTTGGGAACAACGTTGTCTTGCACAAGTTGCCATCTCCTCCCAAACTCAACTGAGACGTAAAGCTGAAAAAGCAGAATCCRTTCATCAAATACATATACACTATCATATTTTTTACATCACAATATCAAACAGAATTTTCATCAGACTTATACCCAGCAGTGCTACTGAGCAGMTCTGATTTTCTAGCATCAACACGCTGTTGTTTTTTTTCGTTAGTATTCGGCATAAGAACATGTCACGAATAGGGGAAAATCAATTAGTTGTTGCACAAGTGCARGAACACTTTGAAGCCAGGTTATATCAAAAACACTGAATAGATAATCGTTTCGATTGTGTTCTAAGTCGTGGATAAAAGACTTTTGTTCCAGGAGTAACAGAGCAGGATTTTAACGTAAATGACACCATAAAAGCCCTCATTTTACTGTCACTGTAATTTTTTTTCTCCWCGAAGCGTTTGCACTGATGTTCGAGTGCTTTAAAGTCTTGTCATTTTGCCTCGGAGATTGAGCAGCAAGCATCTTAAGCTCTCAGCTTTACAAGGATCAGCAGCATCGTTCTGACTCATCTCGGAACGGGCGACTTTTAAACAACGTGACAGATAATCAATAAATGTAAAACAAAGTTGAGCTGTGATTCGTTTAGGGATTTTGTTGTTGTTGTTGTTGTTCCTTTTGGGAGCAAGGAAATACAGAGATGTTAAGGATGACCTGCAGGCACACGTCTCTTAAGCGTCTTCATTTTGACCCGCTGATGACTCTCAACTGAGCTTTCGTCTTCCTCTCTGCACCATTTGTCTCACTTCTCAGGCCATGTCTCTGAAAATCCAGTTGGCCAGCAGCAAACGGAGGAAGGTTGAGTTTGATGTTTGAGCTGCTGAACAAAGCAGACAGCGGGGTTCTCACACTCAGWAATAGAGGGTGGCTGTTTATGTTCACWGTTGTGTGACTTTGTGTGTGCGTATGTGTGTGAGTTCAAGGCTTATTTGGGGTGTGCCTGTCTTGTTAGCTTTCCTCCTTGCTGCCTGTATGACACATCCACCCTAAAGATCTTTGCAGAATGGCCTTTTGATTTGTTTAAGGGTGCAAGTGATTAAGTGCCTTTGTTTTTGGCAGCTGAGGCAGATTGTGTCCATAATGGTAGCTGCTCTTTAAAAAAAGCAATGCTTTCAACAGTGCCAGTTCATTTTTATCATCCACCCATGAAAGTAAAGCAACAATAATGTTTTTGCGAGTTCGGAAGAGCAGCTCATAAACCACAGGATGGGTTTAAATAAAACTTTAGACAATAACCAGTGCTTRTGCATTAGCTCCAATCAACATGGCTGACAAAGCTAAGCAAACTTAGTAAACATTAAAAATGACTATAGCTCGAACAGTTTTGCTGGTATTGAGAAGGTTTGGTGTGCTACTAGCTGAAAGTTGTTCCCAAAACACATTCTGAGCTCWTACTGATTGTTCAACAACTGTGTTTAAACATTGGCTGTTAAGTATTGAAGAGATCCTGTATCTGTCTGTTCGCAAAACCTCGTAAACTAGAAGTTGAAATTGTAAAAGAACTAGTAAAAAAAATTAATATTTTATATGTGGCCCAAAAATGGCCTATAGCAAATTTGAGTGGCTTCGTAATGCAGTAAGAGCCAAAAAAAAAAAAAAAAAAAACACGAGAATGAAACATTTTACAGCTATCTGCCATGCAGTACTGTACAGTAAACTGTTAGAACAGGGCTATTCAACTGGTGGCCCGCAGGCCACATCCGGCCCGCAAGTGACCAAATTTTGGCCCGCCAATTGGTTCACTCATCTCTTAAGCCAAAACCCCCCGGTTTTCTACTTTAATTATTTTAAGTTCTTTTAGTTGAACATAGGCATGTTTGGTATCTACAGAAATGTCAGAATCTTGGCTACAAGCTGGTTAAAGCCATTTTTACGCACACTTAAGACACCTAAAAATACAAGCAGTTGAATACAAAAATATAAAATTGAAAATAAAATTGGTTTAAAAATTTGGCAAGTCAGAGATGTCAAAATATTATTTGTGTGAAATGGGAGGCATAATGTGTTCTTTTTGTTTTCATATTGTTTAATTAGGATTACTTTTATAGGGTTCTATATGTTGTATTCATGATTAAATACAGCAAAATAAACTATTTCAAAGGTAACAGATTTTTGTAATACTTGGATTATTTACATAATGAGTTTAATTGCTGGATGTTTGGCCCCTGAGCTGTTGGTCTGCAGTAACTGTGGCCCCCAGAGAAATTTAGTTGAATAGCCCTGGTGTTAGCAGGTGAAAATGCTGCACTCTGGGTGGAACGTGGGCACAGGACATGCGTACCGTACTGTAATACATTCTACTGTACTGTATAGTTTTCTTATAGAGAACTGAAACTACATTAATCTTTATGTTACAAAATTAGTTAATTATAATGCTCTTAATAATTTAGCTTGAAAAATAAAATAAAAAAGAATGAGAGAGAACAAAAACGTACGTTCCTCACTGTATCGTATTTACTCTTTATCCAGTTTTCGCAAAATTATGGGGATTACTGCAAACTACTARTAGTTAGGTTATTTGGAAAAAAATCTGCAAAAGACTGAGTCCGCAAACTATGCAGCACGACTTTGTGGAGCTTCACTGTCCTTCATAGTGATTAATTTGCAGAGTCAGCTCAATTCAAGATGGCCACTACAGYGAACTGAACTTGAGAAAAAAATWAATGGGAACAATTCCACCAATTTTGCAAATWTTGGGCTAAAATTTAATATGGTAGTAGCTTGAAGTCTTTTTTACTTAGGATTACTATTGTGTACTTCAAGTGATACACAAAGTGTGCAAAGTATTTTCCAAAAATGTTGCCATTCATTCAGGGAACTAACCATACAGCTCAGKTAGTTTTACAGATATTGAGCTCAATTTTGTGTGGTAGTAGCTGAGAGTCACTCTCAGCACATTTTCTGAACTCTAACACATCTCGCAAAACCTCATGAGATTGTACATAATGTCAGTTACAAAGTCTGACCAAAGTGGCTCTGGCTCTATGCCTGCTGAAAGTGAGATATCTTAGTTTAAAACCTCAACATGAAAGGCAGCAACAATATGGATTTCTTCAAAGAATGCTAAGCCTTTAATTCATACTGTTGCTCAGAGATATGATTTTTGTAACCTCACATTGACCACAATTACATGAGCGCTACAACAAAGACCGCAACAGCAGAGCAACGCAAACACTTGAGCCGCTATGCAGATGGTTTTCTTTCTTTACGATCTTTCATTCTGGTTCAGTCACATCATCTGACACCTACACGTTACCTTTTGGTCATGGCTGTAAGCCAGGATCCAGTCCTCTTGCTCAGGGTGAAAAAGCAGRCTAAGGATATCAAAGGCTAAGCTGTGTTTCTGATAGGACGCCCCCTCGTCAAGGCTAATGAGCAGGCTGCTCTCCACCTCTGGGTCAGTTAGTAACATGATCTGAGACAAGAAAAGAGACGGAGAAAAAAATATCAGCGGCCCACTGTGACATCATTCTTCCCTGAAGTGTGCTTGTTCAGTGCACAGCTTGGAATGGATGCAACTCGAAGGCCTCTGCACATTTAGCTAATGATTTAGTCAATGCAATCAAGCTGTTTGATAAAAAACATAAATCCTTACCTTCCTTTTGTTGTTCGGACTCACATACAAGTAGCTTAGAATGCTTTTGGTCCCGACTTTCTCATTAAGTTTTTCATATGTGGTCCCATAATCAGTTGACCTAGAATTTAATCACAGATCAGAATAAATAGATTTCAGGGGAATAAAGTAGAACAGAGCAACTCTTTAACAGTTTAAGATGCTGATGGGATCATTAGACATGTCAGGCAAGCAGAAAATTGCAGCAGCATAAGTCCTAAAGCAATTTTCTGGAC